AATCACTAAGAATATGGTATGGTCTCATCTCGACGTTCTGCGACCATAGCACTTCCATCTACACAGCGACGGTGATACCGAAGGGGTTGAGAAGGGGTGTGTCGTTCCACACATTTCCGACGCAGGATGACCGTCTACTGCCTCAGAACGCGCACTCGGAATTCGTAGTATTAGTATCGGTATTTGATATCCCTGCACACGATGTGTAGGATGTATACCTGGATATAGTTCTCCTTGATGTACTACCGAGTAACCTGAATCATGCACTGCGGCCGTGGATTTCCGAGGGCGAAGGGTACTAAGTACGCTGTCAACGATCTGGGTCTTGGATCTTCTCTATCAGCTACATCATCTATGAAGGAATGGGCTGCTCTCTGTTAGATGCTGTAATGAATACTTCTGTCACCATAACCTGTGTGCATACCCTCCGTCAACCCCTGGTGTCTTCCATTCTTGGACGCATCAAAGCTCATACGTCATCCAATCTACATGGACCAGCCCAGACTCAGATAATTTTTTTGACTTGACCGGAAATATCCTTCACGTAGCGGAGTGAACCTTTACATTCACGGAATATAACAATTTCCAATTCAGGCCACGTAGGCAGTGTGGGGAATTCCATATATCAATATCACAGATTTCGCTTATGGGTAAGGAGAATTCCAATTACTTTACGGGATACTCCCATATCCAGTGGATAATTCCATTTATTCCACGGAATGCTCCTCACCTATCCATAATCGGGTTACACAGGACTCCATAACTGCGCGGGCTAGACCACTTTGCCACTGACCTGACAGCTTCAATATTGGAAATTCCCGTATTTTCAACAGCTTCACTGATGGAGCTTTCCAAATCACAACAGAATCTCGCCACTATCGATGCTAATCTGACAATTTGTCACAGATCCTTCCATCGCACTCAGAGTGAATAGGTCATGTGACCTCCTAATCTTCTGGTCTATATAATCTCGTGAACACCAGCCTTCTCTGCACTTCCCATCAAGCAGCACAACAGGCAGAGGCACCCACCGATAAATAGTCAGAGACAGCCACTGCAACCGGGGAAGACGAAGAGTTGAATCGGATGTATACGGATCTTTAATCAGCCCAATATTGCCATGTTCTGCATGATGGCTTTCTGAGTCAGGTAGAGGCTTTGGGGGTGTCGACAGCGGATGATGTGTTGTCTGGAGAGGTTGGAAGTGAGTTGGCAGGTATCTCTTTTTGTGATTTTGTCATCGACGCGAGCTAATATCCAGGCTAGTTGCTAAGGTCAACCAACAAACAATAGCTGAAGTCAGTCGCCTACACAAAGAAGTATTACTATCCAACATCAGTTCATATGTTCTCTACTAAAGTGATGAGATCCAGTATATTGCGACATGTCTCTTGGGTCCGCTATTCAGATAGGCACGATACATCGTCTTTGGTCTGCTCCTTAGTACCTTGACGCAATATGGTAAGGGTGACGCAAAACCAGAGGTTTCACCGGATTGTACAATGCCCATTCTCAACGGAGTCTTCTGTGCATCACGAAAATAAGGACGACCTGGGAGCTAGATATGCCAGAACATTGCAGATTGCTTCGGAACCTATCACTCCCAAAAAAAAGTAGCCAACGGGTCATGGGAATGTCTCGGAAAGCAAAGGCAAGCAATGCTGCATGAAAGAATTGCTGCTAAACAAGACATCCAACAACTGACATGGAATTATTTCCAATGCCCATGCATACAACCTCGCCACAGTCTGGCTCAACGGCGTTCCGATGATGAGTGGCGCAAAAAACATATAGTTCCGCCTATTGCGTTCCATAATACCATCAACAGATATAGTGGGGCTAACGCCTTGAGTTTTCAGGCAGCTGCCTGATGGTGCCTGTTACACACTACACCTTGCGGACTCCAACCTCAGCTGATGCGACTCATTCGGTCTCTTCCAAACACTGGTATCGAAGTGTCCAGCCCATACAGACCATGGTCCTCGTTCCCTCCGACATGAAGAGTTGGATGGGAGCGTCAATGGCACATGCTGATTGGATTGGCTTACAGGCAGTTCTATACGCGTTGCGGTCTTATTGTGATTTGGCTGCTCTCAGTATCAACGGGGAAAAGGCAGGGTTGATCCATCTTCCCTGAGTGGAACATGTTGGCGAATATTCAGTCTACTGGAGTGCCTGACCCTTTGAAAGCGAAAGATATTTGAGCTGGAACTCCAGCAACTGTGTCTACAGAAGATTGAAAGCTACGATGACTTGCTAAGGCACTCGAACCATTTCCAGCGGTCTTAGACATCTCGATACCATTATTGGGTCTCTCGAAGAAAAGAAGGTACAGAAAAGAAAAACGAAACGAAAAATAAATAAGGACGTATATACAAAGAGGGAGAAACGGAAGAAAAGGAAACCAACAATCAAATTTCTTGAAAGCCCGTCGATAATGGGCAGTTATAGAAAAGAGACCCACGTCGTGGGGGAAGTGAAGAAAAACGCCGCATCCATAGGCCGGACGGATCAAGAACGGCGAAATACAATGCTGCTTTGATCCAGTGGATGAATTCATCCTCTCCGACAATGAGGTATTGGATGACTGCAGATCTGGAGCAAAATCCTCCGACTAATGGGTTTGTTTTCACAGGCCACGTTTGGCCTTTCTCCTGCCACTCCATTGCGATGGGATCACATACGCCTTCTATGGGCTAGATTGATTCATTGCAGAAAAATATAATTCTGCTTCAATCTAGTGGAAGGGACCTTCATCTGTGGGAGTCAAAAATTGAATGACTCCAGACTTGAAGTGGAATCCTCCGTGTCGTGGTTTCATTTTCACAGGCCATGGTTGGCCTTTCTCCTGGCACCCCATCTCGATGGTAACACGAAGTGTGCGGCCCTAGTCCACTGTTGGTCACATTGTTGCCTCCACCGTGGTGGCTTATGAGCATCTTAGTATACGCTTCACCACATCCTAGCATTCCCTCTTTGGTCCTTTCAGCAAGATATAAAGATGTCTCTTCCATATTACAGGCTGTGTGGGGCTGGACTCATCAGGCCTTGCCCCTTGGGGTCCATAATACAGATATAACTCGGTGAAGAAAAAGATGACATGGGAGATCTAAAGGCTCGCTTCACTCGACGACAAGGTGCATTATAAGCTCTGAGATGGCTTGCTTACCAAAGTCATCAGTTGTACCATACGGGATATTATACTGCATCCTGCTTTGCCCATCTCATACTCCTTGTCGCCATTGAAACCATACTCTCGACCAAGTCGATTCTCTTGTTCGCTATACACCAAACCCCACTATGAACAGGGCTTTCACCTCAACGGCAAGGCTATTTCTTTTTCCTTCAAGGACGTCAACAACACGGAGCTTGCAAAATCACTTCAAGCAAGACTCCTATGGCGCCCGGGCTTTAGTGGTACGATAGGCCCCACTGATACTCAATAGCCGAGAGCCAAATTCGACTAGCATCACTTAATTGCTCTCCGATCGGAATGAGAGACAGGTACACAGTGGTTGTCAGACTTGGAAAGATCTTTCTCTCTCATCACATCGTGGCCCAAGGAAGAGGGATTAGTTCCATTGACACCTTACGAGATGCCTTCCGGTTTCCAAACGTATCGTATCTCTGCTATGATAGTTGAGAAAGCACAGAGACTGCGTTCGCTTAGCAAATTTACTCGAGCGCAAAATCTACGTACTCGGGCGGCGCTGCATCGGCATGCAAAAACGGGTGTTAGGTCGATGAAGCACACCCCAGCTCGACCTGGTTTGGTGCTTGTCATGTGTTCCTATGCAGGTGACCGACCAATCAATTGGTGGGTCTGTAAGAGACGTTTTTGTGGTCCATGATATCTGGTATTTGTGCCCCTCACTATATCAGAAGAGGCTCAACCCCCAGTTTCATCGGATGAAAGAGATACCTCTGCTCTATCACTGTCTTTTGGGTCTCGATATCACACCTTTCTGAAGACATAAATACCTACCGTGCGTTTCTCAATTCTAGATGTCGTTGCGACACAGTCTTACCGCCGAATCTCACAAAAGGGAAACATCAATGGGATTGCCATAAAATGGAATCCTGTCTCGGTTGATGAACAGCTGGACAAGGCTGCAACATAACAGATGATGCGCAATGCAGTGAAGGCTGCAACAGAGCATGTGACATGCGCGGTGTCGTGACTCTAGATATTCGTGATCAAATGTATACGAGGCTATAGAAATTGTCTTACGTCAAAGAGGCGCTGGTCAATGTTCGTTCTCTGCCGATCAGATTACATGAGTCTATTGACAAAGGTTGCAATGGTTACCCTTCCTATTTCAGCGCAACAATCGATTGCTCTGTTCGCAAGAGCAGGCAGCAATCTTGAGCTAGATCGATCTACACCTACTGTCAACCACCTACCGTCAACGAGTCAAATTCCCAGCAGCGCGGTGCGAATAAGCCATCGATTGTCATCATTTTGAGCAGTACCATGTCATGGCTTGGTGTGGCTCGTCTCCCTGATTGGCATATCCGCAATCTTGATCTTACTACCGTCCGCCAAAATAGGACAAATGCATACCTCCTCCGTATCTTGCTCTGGCCGGTTTATGAAGATAGATGTCGAGGGCGATGAAAAATGCGACGATGCCTTGTGCACCGAAGGGCTGCCGAGCGAAGTACTCAGATTCTTTCCCACTCATTGAATTCATCTATTAGAGAACCCCCGAACGTCCGAACGAGTGCAGCGATTCCACCAAACGGCAGTGTGTGTATCTCCCCAGCGAAATGGTCCGGGTGGGTACCACATTTCGAGGAGTGAATGCAAACCTACAGGACGTCTATGTACCACAAGGTTCCCTACAAGGAGCGAGCTTGATAAGAAGGTACAGACCTAACTGACGTATCCCCGGAGCGTCTGTCAACGAGGCTTATACTACCGAAAGATCGACTATCCCAAACTCACCGATCTCTACTGGGGTCTTCTGCTGGATAGAGTAAGAACAGGCGAGCCAAGGATGGAACATAACGAGTACCCAAGGTATCAAACACTGCTGGTGGCTGAGCATCTATTCTGGCACTGCCCCATAGCGAAAGCAGTTTGGAACGTCATCCGCAGCATATGGCGACAGATAGCGGGCCTACCACAACCTTCCCACAACGTGAAACGAGCTGCTGTTGAAGGGGGTCGCATGGACGGACTCTCGGTCTTTCGCACTGGAGGCAGATCAGGAACGGTGGCGAGTACTGTTTGGGGAGACCCTGTGGTTGCTGTGGCTTTATCGGTGTGTCTGGAGCTTTGGCGAGGTGCAGGATTGCGGGAACTATGATGTTCCTTTCCTCGTACTCGGAGACACAGTTGATGTCAATTCGATTCATACAGCCATCTGGCCATAGAGACAGACGATAGGTGGAAGATAAGAAACTCTGAGCCTCTCCATTCTGGAGACAGCTCTGGGAAGGTCAAAAAGGTCAATGTGCGATAGAGTCAAGGAAGCGCAATCACCAAGTATGGATGTGGCTGAGACAGCGATACGCCGGAGTCACTAAACACACAACAATGGCTCCTACTCACCTGCCAGCTTGAATTCTCGTTACTCCTCTCACTATACGAAGATAACGCCGAGGATATCGACTCTGGTTCAAGCAATACATCTCTGCAAGAACCTCTCTTTCACGGTACAAGGGCATTGTGCGATCGTCTGTCGTGGCTCTGTCCGACTTTCAGATCGAAGAAGAGGATGCGGAACGGTTCCCACCATTGATCCCTAAGTTTATATTAGGTCTTGGATTGTCAGCCTCACCTACTGTTTGTTCTAGGGTCATTGAATATACCAATCACAGCCAGATTGTCGCCCCAGCGATCAGGGTTCTGTGGAATAAGGCCGCAGCAACCAAGATAGGGGTGCCGTGGTTGCGGGAGCGTCCTCAAACCCTGTACGTGATGCGGAACACCCTTGCCGATCTCACAGAGTACGGCACGTGCCTTCACAACGCTCTGGTCGGTCTACGAGCAAGAAGCCAAGGATAAAGCCTCCAGGGATCTTGCAGAAGGATACTGCGAGCTGCTCGTGTTAGCCGTGCCGAACCTTGGTAACCGTCGATATATTTCCTTTCTTACTTTTCCGCAGGACTGCGAAACGCGCCTGCAGCCGGATGATCATCTGACGGTCATCTCTGACTTAGAGAATTCTGCTCCTGGGAAAGGATGGCGTGCGGTTGTCACGGAGAATATCAGCTTCATACCTCCAGGGTTCTGCGCCTTCAGCCTCATCCGGCCATGGAACCGCGAGACCGGCACATGGGTCGACCTGCCTGCAGACCAGGAGCCTTATGTGATTCCCTTCACTACACTGATCGATGTGGTTGGTGCGCGCAAGCTCCTTGCTCCATCTAGCCGCAGCAGGTTGTCGTGCACCTAGTATCATCGAACCTACCCTCCCGCCGTCAAATTACAGCGGCCATCCCATGAGCTTGATAGATCGTGTGGGAGTCAACTATGATTTCCTCCCCTTGGTTTGGCCTACCAGAGCACGGCCCCTATGTTTTGCGGTATATCATAAAGGATTATACTGGCGTGCTCGAACAATCAACATCTTGAATTTTGTGCGTCTGGGCCCCTCCTACGCTTCTCAATCGACTTGCTCTTCGAATTCTGAGGAGATATATTGAAAGGCTATCACTCTGCACTGCAGGGCGATTCATATATATATATATATACAGCGACACGTGCAGACACAATCCATTCAGTCGAATTTCCGGCAAACTATATTCTATTCCTTCCCAACAACATTGGGACTGTGAGCCTCCTAGCCTCAACCACCACTTATGGATCTTGTCAATTCGCCGGTGATCACTGCAATTATTATCGGCTCCTTTACGATTGACTGACCTGTACCTATCAACAATTGTCAACAATCGGCTGAGGCCGATGATGGTACATACCAACAAGAGACACACCGAAGATGCTCTGCCATATGCCGCGACATTCAAGTACCAGAAGACCGCATAGTGGACCGAAGGCTGGCTGGTAATGCGTTTCGTTGGACGTTTCCCAACCACATGAAAGACTGGAATTTCAGTCACAGAAAAACTGGCGAAACATTCACGTCGAATACAATGTCCGGAAGAAGACCTGAAACAGGCGTACCACAATTCATCCCTAGGTATTCGGTGCTTGTGCGCGCTCCAGAACCTGTTAAAAGAGTCACCGATGGAATCGAGCCATCAAGCACGTCAGGACCATTATAGGGCGACTTATATAACTCGTTTACTCTTGCGCCAAGGGCCAGCTATCCAAAAGTCAAAGGTGGTACGCTACAAGTCGCCTGGGCTCCCTGGGTTCGAGAGCGTATATGAATGGGGTCATCTACGAAGATGGTGACCACGACAATCTCAAGTAACATTGTGTCTTGACATGAAGAAGGCAATTTAGAATGTTCGAGGTCTGCTTGGTTTTCTTGACAGAAATGGAAGGCCAAAGAGTGCGTGAAGTGAGTCGAGGAGCAGATCAGGCGCAGATTTGGGTCTATGCGAAAGCCAGGGCCTTCTGGATCTATTTCTGGTACTGGAACGAGCCGAGAAAAGTCACGGAAACAAGACGCAATGTGGCTTCGGTGCGTCGTCGATATATGCTGGCATTTGGAATGCAACACCTGAGGAACCGGACATGAAATATACGATTTGGATACGACTGTCACCACAGATCTGCGACATCAGCTATTCAGATGCGAGTCTCTTCGTAATGTCTCGTGGCGTGACATACGATGCGATGCTGTTGATGATGGATATAATTGCAGGCTTCGTCTTCTCAGTCAATATCGGTCCAGGAGGACAACATTCCTCTCCAAGGGGCTAAGAGTGATGTGACAGAGTTACTACACTACGATATAATGGAATGAAATACCACCAGGGAGAAAGAAAATGAAAAAGATATGTGAAAAATGGAAAACATACATAATGAATGAATGAATGAACGAACGAAAGTGAGAAATAAAGCAATGAAACTACAAGAGACCAAGACAAAACAAGCAACAAAAGCAACAAAATAAACAAAGATAAATCCATGTGGTAACGTCAGGAAAACATAACTAGGAAAAACCAAAAGAAAAAGCGATCCATGGCTCCAAAACCGATGCAGGCGACCTACCAAAACGGGTCCCGAATGATATTTCCGACAGCTGGAGGGCTAAATCAGGGTTGGAGGACTGATACAACTGCATGCAGTGGTTCTTTCAGTCCTGACACCGACTCCAACCGCACCTGCGACTACCATTGGGAACGTTCCATGAGAACACATTCGTCACCTGATCAGAGGGCAGCAAGGAAAGCTTTCCTTGTCGACACTCACGCCATGATACACTTCCTTGCTAGGAATGTTATTCACTCAATGCCATACGCTCCACGGATACTACACAGAACGCCATGACGAGGCGACCTACGCTGTTACAATCCATAACACAATATACCATATATTATGAGCGAAACCGCGCATTCGACGGTGTTCCGGTCGGAATGAACAACCTTTTCATCCGCACCGTTAGAGTTGCATGCCCTGATCCTGCTGTGGGTGGTGGAGTCTTCCAAACTGTGAACAACCATTGCTGTCGCCGGTTGATGATATTTGGACAGATATCCGGCCAAGCGTTTCTCTAGAAACCTCCATATCGAAAGCGACATGATACACGTTATCCTCTTTCTGAGTCGCCCAACACTACTTCTTGCATTTTAGAGCAAGCGGACACTCACAGCACAATGGATGCAGAACCCACAGCAGGCAGTGCAAGAATTCTTCGACAGGTCGACTTGGCCGGTAGTGAAGAGACAGTCAGGCACGCGGAAGGAAATTGTGTCTTGGCTGCGGACCTGGTGAATGTCGATGCTGCTGACCAGAGTTGGGTTGTGGAAAATTTCCATTAATATGACGTCCATTGAACTTCATATAAAGTTCGATGAGATGCCTGTTCATGTGTGTTTGTGGATACCGTTGGAATGCAACCTCATAAGAGTGAAGATAAAGGCGAACAATAGAAATTTGAAGCTTCACCTAATCGATTTACTCCAATGTGATCACGACGCTGAACCATACTTTCCTTCTATACCAGACAATCGCCGCACTTACGGGTCTGGGACGATTGCTACAGAAAGTTATAAGTGATTGCATCGATGCGGTCAATGTAGCGGCAAGCTTATTCGACTGCCGCCTTTCTCGTTTTATATTCCTTTTACCGCCGAACCAAGTCTGCACTATGTCGCCCTCGGCAAAAGTTGCCGAAGAAGCATGGATGACTGTCCTGTCTTCTTGGTCCACTGAAAAAGATTTGCTGGTGCCCATCTCCAAGAATCCCGTGAATATACGATCAAGCCCCGGACAAAGCTGCCTCATCATCAAATCCTTGTTGATGAGAGATCATGTCTATCGATGACTACCAGGCCAGATGTCAACCATGCAGTAGGAGTACTAACAAGATTCTGCTGCAAAGCTAGCCCTTCGTCACTGGCATCTTCCGCCCGGAACTCATCATCATTGACGAGGCGGCGCGTGCATCCAAGGCGGACCTGTGGCCGGTCTTCGCCAATTATGAACCTCGTGGGTACCTGATGATCGGGGATCCGTTCCAGTTGCATCCGGTGGTTGAGTCGACGCCCCAGAATAACCCACTCCACGCCGTGTCGGCCACCTCCCTCTTCAGGCGTCTGCACATGAACGGGATGCTGCTCTGCATGCTGGACGTGCAGTATCGCATGGCCAGCATACTGGGTGATCTGGTGAGCCAGCTGTTCTATCAGGGACGGCTGCAGTCACTCCCACCCCATCCCGTCCGCCCTGCAGACCATGTCCGGACGGATCGCGGACCTGAACCATGCGTTGTTCGGCGTCCGGGAGCCCTTCCTCTGCGTTCTACGAATTCTATATCCTCTATTTACACCCTCTATCGAACCATCGCCACTTATCTCTATCAGCTTCATCCTTGATTTCCCTTGTCGACCAGTCTTATTATGTTTGCATTACCATCTGGGTGGAGCACTGCTAACCGGACATGTCTCGAGGGGAAGGTTGGCACCTGGAAGCACTGGGGATGGCCGAACCTCGGGACAAGCCCATTATACGCGGGGTGCTCGATCGTCTCGCCGAGCAATGTCCACTGATGAGAGTGCAGAGGCACGTTGATTGCGCACTCTTTTCATTCTCAAGTACATCAAGAAGCAGAAACCTCAGTATACTGTTTGTCGCCGAACCTGATGCCTCATTTGCTATTCAAACAGCGAATGATGATGTGCCAAGATACCAGGCAGTATGTTACCGGCTGGGCTCTTCGATTAGGATATAATGTCTTATTTTAGACATCAGAAGGTCAGAAAAGAATAACAAGCATAATACATGGCTGCATCAGACCTGTTCGAATGGGATCATATCGGCTCAGACGATTAGTAACAGAGTACCGATATTCCTAGTTGGAATTGCTTCCATTCATGTGCTGGAAGCCCATTTGTATAACTCTAACCTGATCCGAACCGATTGTTCGGGCCGGGGCGTTCCTTACCACGTCAGGATAAGAGGGACACTGATGGAAATACCATGCGTCAGTCCTCGTTATATACTGATGTCTCCTTCTAATGAAAGCTAGTGGTTGAGTTTCAGACCTCCGTCCTGAGCACAGCGCTTCCATGAGATATCGGGCAATCTCAATCTTTCCCAATGTCGGGTTTTTAATATACAATAGGAAGGCTGTTCAAAGTGGTGAGGAAGGCAATAAAAAGGAGCCTATACAGCCTCAACAAGCACTCTGGGCAACACACGGACTTGCTCGATACGTTATCTCTCTCATGCAGATCAACCATAGTCTCCAAGCGACGAAGTTGGGCCGAGCCAGGCTATCGTGTCTTTAGACTTACCAGTCTCTGATGAACGCCGGGGGTAAAACATTCGTTCTTCCGGCACAGTGCTCGAAAATATATATGAAGTACTGACCGTCGCTTTCATTATGCCTGCAAACTCTGGGGTGATGTCATTGTCTCCACAGCGGATCATAAGTTTTGTATACTGAACGGTACTCGTGTCCGAAGTTAATTCCCAAAGGCGTTCCCTACCTACACGGGGCCAAAATAAATAAGCAGTGCTGGCTTTTATGTACGGGTCCTTTAAATCACGTTACTGAGAGCATGTGATGAGAAGACTCTTTCGCTACTTTTGCACACAGGCCTATTTACTACAGCTAGCTTTGCAGTTCAAGAATTGTACCTAACAGGAGATCCAGACAAAGTCAACGAAGAGTACAAGCTGAACGGCGTTGAGAATGGGCAAGACCTCACATTTTCCCGTGTGACGAATACAGCACCCTTCTGCCAAACAGCGAGATAAGGGAGGAAAGCAGGATGTCCTGTCATACTTTAAAGCACTGCATATGAAACAATGGCAAAGGAGACGTTTATCAGATTTGATGATTCCAACGAATGGACCAACCCGCACAGCTCTCGGTCACTCTTCCCAGACTATTCCCTATCCACTGGGCATAGCTAGCCCTTTAGCACGCGCTATAACGGACCTAGAAGAGTACTCCGCCTTTACACAAACGCTGTACAAACATATATATCTTCGGCGGTCGCAGCGCGCTATCCTGGAGATGGCAGAGAAGCACCAACTGCTGAAACATCATGTGAAACACAAGCACCTCCACCCTGCTGAGATTGGCACCTATGAAGCAAATTTGCGGTACAATCACAAGAAATGCTCTAAGTGCTTATGATGAGAGATGGAGATTCGGGGTTATCAGATTGTGAGGACTTGATACCGGGGGAATCTATACGCAACGAATCCCAATCACCATGTTCTCCTGCCTTAATGTGCAGTGCACCAGATCTATTTGTTGCTCTGGGGGTGGTATAAATTAGTTGTGGTCCGGCTTGTGGATCGGTCGTGTTCATGTTATCAATGAGTTTGGCTTTGTCCCTTAGCCCACCGGCCCGACAGTTCATTGTGAGGGTGGTCTAAGGGCGGAACAGTCAACGTCGATTGTGAAGAGGGTAATTGGGCAAGGCGTAATGTTTGGCCCAAATAATGTTTGTTCGCGGCCACAAATAAGGCACTAAGTGGCAGCGAAATGGCAAAGACAGTGGTGGGGGACGTGTTACGGGAGTCTTTATTATTTGGTTACAGGAAACGTTATTGCGAGCTACACCATACCCAATGATAGGAGTGATGATGCATATCTCAAATATGATAATTCGATTCTTAAGCAAGAAATTGATGTTGGATGCTTGCCAATGTCTTGTGATGGTAATTTAATGAGTTCGTGGGCACGCAATATTCTCATCAAGCACAACCTATTGCTTTCGCGAGAATATGGCGACGGGAACTATACTTTGGATAGATAGATCTCTCATCCTCAGAATAAATTGAATGATGCATCAACTCAAATTGTGAAGTTCACTTAGGAAGTCGTATTCCCCCGAATCCTCGGCTCGAGAGGGAAATCCTGCTCCTCTGGTTCCAGATCCTTATACAAACTATCCCATCTCTTCCGCAGCGGCTCTGGAGTCTCCCATGCATACTCAGGATCCCTCAACCAGAGACGCAGTAAATGGCGCCTATGCTCTCATTAATCATCTTCACACTCACACCAATGACGGAAGAATCACTTACTCCTTGCCAGGCCCATCCGTAAACCCATTCCTTGCATGGAAGATACTCAGGTTATTCACGTACTGAATATCTCCCTTCTGAAATCCAAGTGAAGCACTGTGCTTTTCAGCCAAAAAGTGCAGCGCATCGAGCGCCTCTGCCTGCGCTTCAGTAATGGGCGGGATGTTTTTAGATCGAGGTTGGGCCATGAATCCGGTAAAGTAGCGGCGGGCGTATTGGATCAGGACTCGTTCCGGGGTGCTAGATGTGGCGGGTTGGTGGTAGAGGAGAGGACGGGTGCTGTAGGGCTGCGTGGGGTTGGAGAACCTGTCCTCCAGTTAGCGTCACTTGTGTCATGTAAAGGGTGTGGAAGATATGTACCCATCAAACGGCCATTCCTGAGTAAGCGTATGAATCAAATCCGGCCTCTCCTTGGCAAGAATGTTATAGACGTGCCAGCTACTAGCTAGCTTGCTTTCTCCTCCTTCTGCGGCTTCTTGGAGACAGAGCAAGGAAATAATATCCCCCGAGTCGGTGTGGAAGACCTGCTTATCGGCTGTGTTGGAGGGTGCGCCGATTGTCCCCGGGAGGACGGTATTGGAGATGTCTTTGATATGGGATAGCACACGGGAAGGGGTTCCCTTGAGCCGGTTATCTTCCTGTCTTCCGCGGTAGTTCCCGATGTGGGAGGAGACGCCGGTGTAGATGATAATGTTGTCTTCGCGGGAGTATCTGTCGATGCGGAGGCCGCGGACGACGACGAAGCCCCGGCCTAGGTGGATTTCGCGGGAGAGGTCGCGAAGGACAGGGTGAAGGACTGGTAGGGGGAAAGTGGATTGGTTGATTGAACCTAGTGGAAGGTTCTTTGCTGTGGAGGTGTTAGCGATGAACATTTTTTTCCTAAGATGGAGGGAATAACATTTAAAAGACTGCAGGGCTTGGTCGATTTCGTCAAGTTCGGCATCATTTAATTTGTAGATCCAGTCATCGCGCTTCTCTACTTCTGTTCCTTCCCAGACCAGAGGAGAACTGAGATGTTCGGGAAAGCCTTGAGGCAATGTCTTGGATAGGGTTTCAGTGGTGACACGGCGCTGGGTGCGGGCAGTATATTTGGCGTAGTCGGGGTGGTATTGGATGTCCGGTTGGACAAGAGTTTGTACTTCAACCATGGTGGATAGTAGATGTTAAATTGAAATGACTTTACTTTTGATGTCTGCAGGAAACGAAAACAAAATGCGATAACGAAGCAGTCTGGGTTTCGGAATATAAATGGTGTGGTAATCACATCATCTCAAGCTAGCATTACGATGCCGAAGACATCCAGAAAACCGCTGGCTGTCATTCGCCGATGCCCCGCACGGCAATGACAGAATACGTTGCGCAGGAATCGCCATATCTCCATTATCGGATATCGGCAGATATTTGAGACGAGGGACTCTTTTCTGTTATCCTTGGCTGATAGCAGTCTATAAAGTGCGATATTACATAATTAGCGATCTCCGTTTGGAGATGTTAGAACCTTATTATTGGGACAATCAGGCCATTTCAATACGTTACAACCATAAGTGTACACATTCATCTAACAATGACATTAGCACTAATATTCCAGGCGACCGAGGGGAACGAGGATGTTCCTGCCCTCGACTCCCTTGCATTGAGCCCCAAAGTGCTATGCAGCAGATCAATAGACACGATCGATAAAGTCGACCGCCTGCGCCTTCTCGATGATACCATCCAGACTTTTGACAAATGCCAGGTGAGCTGGATCCTTGGACACATAGTAATCGCGATCTTCAGCATTCGCAAAGTGCACTACGAAAGCGTGGGTGATGCCGTTCTTTGGGATATTAGTTATGGACATGTTCAAAAGAGCACATTCCTTCATCACTCACTTGGATGCCTTCGGGCGAGTTGTCCTCCCCGCCTGACGCGGCCTGGATGTATGGCTTCTGTGAGTTGGGGTGTATACAATTATCTTTCAAAGCGAGCATCCGAGAGCACACCTTCGGGGACGTCCCAATGTTAGATGTGGATAAGCGCTAGGTTGGGCTGGTGTAACTTACATCTTTGATTATTTCGGGGCTGACCTCCGCTTTGAATTGGAACATGACAATGTGAGTGATCGACATGTTGGGCGACGACTGATGTGAAAGGACTGGTCAAAGGCCAGAGGGATGTTGTCAGAGGATAGTAGTGAGAAAAAGAAGGATGGTGATGATAGCCAGAGTAACTGCTTGTCGCCTAGGAGCCACCATCTTGCGACGCGCCCAGTACCTGTTTTTAGCTGCGGGGTAAGTAACTGGACACCTCGCCGAGTGGATGAACGACGCGACTTCAGGTGATTAGTTACTCGGGGAGATACTTGGTAATCCGCCCAGCCCCTGCGTTGGACTAGTGCCATGTAGCTCCGAAGGAGAATGATCTCTCATTCGACAGCACCACTACTTTTGGTGCATTCCTGACCCACAACAGCCACCCGCGCCTCTGATAACTGCCTGGCTACCTTCCACAAAAGTTCCATCTTTCTCATGATGTCACATTGTTCGGCTTGCTTGGATATTTCAGAAGCGTAATGATGGTGCCTTCTGATGCTCCACGTTGTGGTGGTAGGCCCATCCATGGATTCTATAAATTGTGGGTTGACAACGCGAACCAGGAAGATATATACCAAGATTCATCTGTAAAAAGCCAAGGTGAGTTGAATTATCAAACACGCTACTGAGTTCGACGCCAGCTCAGAAGCACATGGAATGAGGATTCCACATAAAAAGATGACAGTCATAAGGCAGTCCGGCTGCCCATTGCTTAAAAAGTCATGGATAACTCGCAGAACCATCTGAATCACGGTTAGAAATGTGGCAATGGACCCGAAAATCGGTAGTACTAGGCAGAAGATCCAATACTGCAATGTATCTCGTCAGTCATGAAGGAGATCTCGCATATATTTATGTCGAACATCACGAAGCACTTTGGCAATCAGTACGATCCTCTCATACAGAACTGCGACAACCCGACCGGCAAAGTAGATAGGCCTATCGGCCGGGAGAGACGATGATGGTGATTTGAGCTGCTTTTGGGTGCATAGGTGTGGCAGGAGAGAATCAACTCGATGGTCTTTTAAATATTCTGCTGGCTTGGAAATGTTCCGGGATAGCTTTCTTGACGCAGCTGACTGACCGAAAAGGAGACGATAGGATAAGGGCACCTCCTGTAGGAATCGAGAGATGTCTTTCTCATCCGCACGTGGATCTTCTCCGGCGCCGTCAATACTTACAAATGCATGGATGACACCCCGCGACTGAAGAGCGTTCAGATACATGGAAGGGTAGCTCAACAGCGACAAGGTTCGACTAATCCTATCATAGTCTAGACGAAGCTCTAGGCTGTCAACCCATTCAACCCATCGGGATCGGACACTTAACAACGCCTGGAAGAGATATGCATTAGTCTCAGGGAATGATGGGTCCTTTATGAGCGATTTTGTGATCCATGGACTGCTCTGGATTTGCTGAGACTTGTTCTTGGCCAACGTGAGGTAAAAGCACCAATCTATGTTCGAGCTATGTTCTCTCATGCAGAGAACAAAGAAGCTGTAACGAGCTGTCGCTGCTGTCATCCAGGGGATAACCCCGTATCGGCTTCAGAATGTAGCTGATGGCAATACCCGTCAGATAATTATGGACATTTATCGAATGTGATATTGCACCTCCCAATGCGGACCTTGTAGTTGCTGGAAGCCATCACGTGTATCATTCTTCAATCCAGTACTCTCGACACAAAATGTACCCAAGTTCTCGGTATTAAATCAATGTACCTGGTAAAGACTTTAGTGGCCAATGCAATGGGAGGAAGCAATTGCTAATCCCTGCATCCGCTCTCTCTCCACTCGATCGAAAGTAGGGGACTCAGCATCCCCGCTTGATGAAAATAATACCTTTTTTCTAGTCCCTTGATTTGTAGACGGAATACGTTGTCGATCGTGCAAGCGTCGCGCGCACGGAGGCCGCACTTCCTCGTTGTCAAGGTTTTATTCGGCATCCCGCCTGCCGGCAGATGGTTAACCCAGTCTCGTAGATCATCGCTAGAACTACTCCAGCCGGAGCGCCGGCATTCCACTTGATGGATACCAAAATTCTTTGTGAAGTGCCATAACACCGGTCTGCTTCGTTTTACCGGTATCCCACCTGTCGGGGGACTAGAGAATAATTATCGAGGGTCCTCTAGTCTCTACAGTATGAATTGTTTGATGGGTGGCGCCAAATATAAGAAAATAGTCAATATTACCGTTCATGATATGCAAGTCTGATATTCTGTGAAATAGGATTCCTGGAATGTTTCCTATAATGTACTGTATCGAGAAACTACAGAATACACCTCCTAAACGACGCAAAGATCACCAAGGCATTACATAAGGTACCCCAGAATGCCGAGATTATCATATTCGATATATTCTTCAGTAGCTGTGCAGTGATGCCAACAACCATACCGTGGTAATGGAGTAATTTTTACTCTAGTGGCATCGGTATTACCAAAGGCCGCGACACCATGATTATATTTCTTTGTGATAAATATTCTGAGCTCGTGTGTGATATAGTTATACTCTCTCATCTCTCAGTTGTACACTTTGGCATCCAACCCTGGGAGAATCTGCAGATCCTTGTCTCCGTAACTGTACTTCCCATCCTCGGAGACCTTCGCCTCCCGCGTGCGTCTCTGCTGCTGAGTCTGCCGCGCCTTGACCCACTGCTCAGTAGTCAAATGCTGTCCCAACTCCGTAAACACGTTCTTAGTGAGCCCGAGCCGGTTAAGCAGGGGACTGTTCTGGATCGGATCCAAGACGACATGGTTATTCGGCCTAGTCAAATATAGTTAGCATATTATGCAACAAGAAAAGAAAAGGAGGCAGTCTTACCTGGCAAAATACAAAACACCCAACCGATCCACATGCGCCTGATCAGCAGGAGGAACATGGACTCGATGAATGCTTGACTTGATCAACCCGCCCGTGAGCGCAGTCAACGCATCACAGGTATTGATGGTGATAGTTCCATCCTGCGGGCGGACCCATTTCCACTGTCCCTCTGAGTTGAGGATTTGCAGCGCGGCAACGGGTTGGCGGAAGAGCAGAGTCACCGTGCCCAGATCAGTATGACCGGGAGAGTATAGACCCCCGACCTTCTTGTTGAGCTCGGCTCCACGTGCTGCGTAGTGCATGTAGCGGAGGTGGTCCTCGCCCTTTACGTCGTACTGGTGGTCTCGGACGAGTTGGTCTTCGTCGGGTAGTTCGAGGAGAATGGCGAAGAGGCGGAGGAGCTTCTCGACTACTTCCGTGTGGCATTTCTGTATTATTGATCAGTGTAAATCGGGTGTAAAAGGAAAGTAGAGGACACTTACCCGGCTGAACTGCTCGATTTCGTCAATATTGTCGGCCAGGATTGCTGGTTGCTGGCGCTGATGATACCCATCGAATTTGGGGATGTTGTAGACTTGGACGTTGTCCTTGATTCCGTTGCCCAGACTGGATGTATTAGCATGATAGCATGGTTACAGATGTCGACGACCTACATTCGGTGCCCAGCTGGCCGGTAGCCGTTGTATTCTCCTCTATCCAGATCGGCGCTGCTATGGTACTTGAGCTTCTCTTCAAGTGGAAGAGCGTAGAACTCGCGACCCAGAGCGAACTGGCGGTCGATTTCCTCTTGGCTGATGTTGAAGTTCTTGACGTAGAAGAAGCCTTCAAGCGAAGTTAGATCAGGCTAAAGATGTGATGCAGACTACTTACCAACATGACGAACAGCGTGGTCTAGCTGCTCAACGAGCGATTCCTTGCCGCCCGGCTGATCATATTGGCTCAGGTCGAGGGTGATGAGTTCGGCCCAGTCGACTGGTTTGTTAATCATTTGAACACATAGTAAGCCGGAGGAATTACTTACGGTCTTCCTTAGTCACAGGGACGTGGTCGTATCTGTCGATAAGTCTTGCAGGCATAGTGATGAAAATTGTTGTAACAGCGTTCACGAAAGTATTATACAGACTCTATTGATCTGGGAAGGTCCGAGTAGTTATGTCCGAATCCCAATGCAGCGTATACTTTAACCCCGCACGGCATGTGTGACGAAGATAGTCGGCAAAGCACGTAATTCTTATCTAGCGTCGCGCATTCAATTTAGAACGCACTGTGTACCGTGTCTGAATCATGTCAAAGATAGATAAGGGCATTTCTGCTAGGATTGTGGCACGCCATCCCGCACCCGGATGTTGCATTCTGCAGCTAACAGGCGCGAACAACCCTATCAGATTGTGATGCTTTCCCATCACGACAATGAATGGCATAATGGCAAATATGTCAACACAGCCCCACTCTATAATTCTATCATGAAGAGGGGTATTCAATGATCAGATAAAGATCTTGCCGAACCATGGAACATGCCCCTGCCAGAGGAAGTTTTCACCGGAGAATTGTCCGACACGAGGAGACAAGGGCTCGGTAATATGTCCGGCAGCGACTCAAAGACACGGAAAATAGGTGTTTGGGGGCTTTTCAAAGAGGTGTTCAATTGGTATCCATCCAATTATCCGACAAATGAGCGAAGGTACGTTGTCCCTCTTGGTTTGGCCATAGGTTACTCATCATCTAGGTTGCTCTTCAAGCTGGATTTATCCATTCTGGTATTCGCATGTCTATGCTGTAAGCTGTCCTCGTTGAGTAATTACAGAATTATTATTGACTGTAATTAGTTTTCGTGAAATACTTGGGTATGCCTGTTGAGAGACTGCAATATCCACCGATGCTAATATATTCCAGACCAGACCAACATCAGCAACGCATATGTTAGTGGCCTAAAGGAAGACTTCAGTCTAAATGGCAACCAACTTAACTATTTCAACGTCTGCTATTACACTGCCTACGTTGTCTTCCAAGTTCCTGGTCTGCTGTTGATGTCGCGACCGACGCTGTATGTTACTGTCCATGATTTGAGAGAAATGCATAACTAAGAGGATTAGGGCGAGATGGCTGCTCCCTTCCCTTGAAATTCTCTGGGGTATATGCACCTTTGCACAAAGCCGAGTCACGAATGTCAGCCAGCTATATGCACTTCGATTTCTCGTTGGCATGTTCGAAGCGCCTGTCTTTGCTGGAACACACTTCATTCTCGGTAAGGTTGTCAGCACTTCAGCTATCATTCTAATAGGCTAACTGATACTGGAGGCTCCTGGTACTCTGGCCCCGAACTCTTCAAACGAGCTGGAACGTGGTTTATATGCAACGCGCTTGGAACTATGGTAAGCGGATACCTGCAATCCGCAGCCTACACCAACCTATCCGGAGTGGGCGGCATGCCTGGATGGAAGTGGCTGTTTGTTATAGACGGAATTTTCACTATTCCCGTCGCCATTATTGGCTTCTTAGTGTTCCCGGGGATTCCGGATTCTCCACGACCCTTCTTCCTGTCAGAAGATGATATCACCTTGGCCAAGGATCGGGCGCGAAGAGCAAACATCCGTCGTCCGGGAAGGATGACAATTGATGTCTTCAAACGCACACTTAAGCGCTGGCATATCTGGGTCTTCATCCTCTGTTATGCGTAGGACAGACTTGACTTTTTAACTTGAGAAAAAGCTAATCCGTTGTGTCTTAGGTGCATGATTATATCTTCTTATCCTACCTCTTATATGAACCTCTGGCTAGAGGCAGAAGGCTACTCAGTGCCACAGGTCAACAAGCTGCCGACAGTGACCTACGCGATCAATATCGTTGCTTCGTGGTTAGGGACCACACTTGCTGCAATTTATCCGTCATGGCTTATTTACACTATTGCGTCCGCATGCTGTTTATTTTCTTCGCTGTGTATGATTATTTGGAACATACCAAAGGCCCTGAAGTAAGTGTACATCTCGCATGCGTATACTGTCCTGCTGACAGGATTATAGGTTTGTCGCATGGTACCTCTTTGGCGCGGCAGGGTGCACAAGTCCTATTCTGTATTCGACGGTCAATACGATTGTAAAGGATGATTCTGAAGAACGGGCGCTCATCATGGTACCTCAATAGACTATCGGGATAGCAGACAGAGCAGAACACTAACTATTGGCAGGGCTCGATGATGACTTTCGGCTATTCCTTTCAAATATGGGTTCCATTGCTTCTTTTTCCTACTGCTGGTCCGGATGGTGCTCCGCGGTGGCGAAAGGGGTGGCCCGCCGCATTCGCTTTTTTCTTTTTACTGTGGGCGGGGTTCATTGCAGCAACATTGATATATAGAAGGTATATTAAGTATACCCAGTTTCCCATTATATTTTCTAACGCAAGATACAGAGAGCAGAAAGCAAAAGAGTTACTATATAGTGGTCCCGAAACAGAAAGTGGAACGGAGGATGGCGAACCGATTGTGGTGGAGGTCGATTCCAGTGTTAAAGACAGAACTTGATGTTCATAGGTAGCATCGGCGTCAGTCATGCGAGAATTGAGACCGTTAGGTTGAAGGAATCTGGACTTCTCAGCACATTTGCGGCGAAATATCAAAGTTTGACGAGAATGAAAGGACATGGTTAGCTCTCCGGACAAGGGTACATATTGCGCCAGTACCAGCGCCATATGTACTCCTCCACCCTGGCAATTTCCCTGGCCTTCTTAAACGCGTCATCTCTGCGGAAACTATCTTCAGGATTTACATCATACGCCGAAGCCATCGCAGTATCCGCAGCGCTGCCTGCGGCCCTCGCAGCCTTCTCAACCATAAATTTGACCCGAGCAAAGGGAATCCCTTCCCCATCAAAGTGCCCCAGCACGCCTTCCACTATGCTTAGCTGGCCTTCCGTTGCTACCTTCACGAATAGATGTTCACCAGACCGGTCGACAATAAACGGGTCGGCGCCTTTCTGCAAAAGGAACCTAACATCATTCTCTGAGCAATACGTGTGGTCAGATATTCCACTGAAGATATGGGGCATATCTGTCTCCGAGTATCGTGAATTGATATCCGCTCCGTACGACAGCAGGAGGTCAACAACTTCCTCTCTAGTGTCTCGGCCCCAATAGTTACGTATTGCCTTGATCAGAAGCCAGTCGGGAACGTTGGGATTGAATCCTGCTTCAAGGAATTCCTTTATAATTGTAGTGTCACATTGCTCTACAGCTTCCTCGAATGCCAACTTATGGTGGTCGTTTCCCACATCGAGTTTGACGTCGAGATGCTGCCGAACCAGGTGGAATATCTCTGGCCCCGCGCGGACTGCTCTTTTGATGGTTCTTCGGACCGGTACCTTCGGATCAAAGAAGCCTGTAGCCACCCCAAGCTGATCGGCTTCAACGAGATTTCTGTTGACTAGAAGCTGGACGATATCATACCGTGCCTGCGGCGTTAATCGTGGTGCATATCGAGTGGTTGCTTTTTCGAAGGCAGTCTTGCAATCCTTTGGGAACGGGTTGGCTCCTCTATCTAGCAGTAGCTCGACAATTTTCGTGTATCCTCCTCCGATTGCATTATGGATAGGTGGTGCGCGTACTTCACTCCGCTTCCAAAATACTGGATCGTTAGGATCTGCACCACGGTCGAGTGACAGTCTGACAACTTCGAGATGACCTCCAATAACCGCCTCTGCCATACACGAAGTCACAATATCTTGCCAAATTTCTGGCGTGATAGCTGGGTGTGTGTGTATCCAGTCAAGGTCTAGCAACCGCTTTAGCAGACTTATATTGCCACCACGTGCCGTACCAGTAGCGAGGCGCATAATCGCAGAGATATTTCTTTCGTTGATGATGTTATCAATATCTATTTTTCAAAACAAGTAACCTGCTTCTTCAGAGAATGTGACTGACAAGCGGCCGACGTGGTACAAAACGTCATCCCATAAGTACATGTTAGAAGGACGGTCCGGGCAATGAGTCAACCCATTATCTGCCATACTGAACTCAGCACCGTGGTCCAAAAGGAATTTGACCAGTGGCATATCATTCATTCTCACTGCCTCGATTACCATATGGCCAGAATGGTTCTCAGGAGCAGAAAAGTAGTCCTGGGGTATGTCGGACCCCACAAACATGCGTAAAATAGGCAAGTTCCTACCACCAGCGATCTCGAATGCTGACCTGTCCGAGTAATTTAGGAAGTTCGGTGTTCGCGGATTGCAACCATGTTCCAGTAGCAGTTTCACTATTCCATAGTGACCCCTACTTGTGGCCTCAGAGAGAGGCTGCTCATAGCTTTTATATTCCGCGGTGTATTCCAACTCTGCTCCGTGCTCGATCAGTACTCGGACAACTTCTTCATGGCCGTCCGATATTGCGGACAGAAGAGGAGTGTTTTCGTAGCAAAAGTCATCCCGGGATTTTCTCGCGTTCGGATCGACACCGAGCTCTATGAACATACGAACTAGGTCCGCATATCCCCTTCTCGCCGCAACATGGATGGGTCCACCAACACAACATATCTTAGGCTGGAAGGTTGGGGAGACCCCAGCTCGTAAAAGCCTGCGTACACAATCCGTATTGCCATTGAATGTTGCATTTCGCAACGCACCGCTTTGGTGGGAGTAGATGTGGCTGTCATCAAAGATATTTCGGATGGCCTGGTCGATCGATTTGCTGGTAAGATTGTAAAGCCGACGACTAGTCTGGGAAAGCGCTGTCAAATCGCGGTTGTAATCTATGTAGCTTAGTATTTCTAGCAGGGTTTCAGTGGGGAGTTCGTTGAGATTGGCCATGGTGATTGGTGAGTGCAATCAATCAATGTAGTAGGTCAAGAGGCCAGCCCGTTGATGATTGATTCACTCAGATGGCTTGCGATGTCCGACTTTCCTGTCTAGAATGTACATATGCGTCTGCATGTTCTGGCTATATATGCTTAGTGATGTGTTGTTATTTCTTTCATGGCTGCATGTGAATGAAGATGTCGCCATTGTTCATGACAAGGTAACGGCCGCTGCAGTTGAGGTGGCTATGAAAGGACAGGAAAGGCGTAAGTTCATGGCTTAGAAGCTGAAAGGTTATCTAAGTTTTCCCAGTACCAGCCGAACAATCGCTATCATTTGGGTAGTGCACATGTCCATTTGAGCCTCGCTTCAGGGTTGGAGATTGCCAATCTCGGCATTAGTTCAACTGGCGCAGCTATTATACTCCTTTGTTAGAATCCACGCCATGATTGGGTATCGCCTAAGTCGTCTACCATGGGTAAAGCGTGAAGTCCCATTGTTCATCAAGGGGTCAAGAACGTGGGGTTATAGGACAAGAGAAGGTATTCCGCTATCTCCCAACGCTTGACCGAAGAAAAATGTGGTTGGTCGCGAGAGCGATGAAAGAGTGTTAAGATAATCCGAACCCCTAACCCAGTTCTAAATAAGAGACATTCCACAACCCTCCATTGTCCCCCATTGAATGTCCCGGGCTTCGCAATACACCAGAAACTAGCGAAGGTACAATCCGTATTCAAATTCTCATGGGGCGGAAGCAACCTGATACATATCACGATGAAGAGATTTAGAACCATACTTTTGTGAGAGAACAAAGAGCGATGGTCCGGGGCCGAGGCTGATGTTGACATAGAAAGAAAGTGTAATGAAAAGCCTTAATCCGTCTAGTACTGCTGCATATTTCCATACGCCAAGGCATGTTGCGCTTGGGCGGGCTAAACATCTTTCAGAAGGGCATACTGCTGCTATTTGTATCGTGTGTGACCGGTAGCACCTGGTAGCGGTGTGCAGCGGTGGTAAACATCGTGATCCGGAGGAGTTATTGGGGCGTATATCGGTAGAAACATGACTCCCCCAGGTTGCATGGGTTCACATATTGTATATACAGCCACTTAGAAGCTCTTTTGCGACACAATCTAGATATGCCATACATAGCATCAGTCCCAATTAAAGTTTGTCGGGACCGAAATGAAAACACCTGAAAGCAGCAGGAAAATGGGAAAGAGAGTCATCGTTGGAACTTTCCTTTTCCCTACCTCACCAATTTTGCAGATAGTCCTAGTGCTAGGAGCTTGCCTAACGTATCAGCATTCAAATGACCTTGCTTCGAGCCTTACTTCATTGGGCACATTGTTAAAATTCAGGCTGCGGGGCCTGTCGCGGTACGGTATAATTAGTAGCCTGTTGATCCCGGCTGTCGCAAAGATCAGGCTATATCTCAACAGCCCTATCTCATGTCATGTTGATCTTGTCGGAATAATCTGCAGACTGTTGGTAATGCGATAGCGCAACAAACCTCCTGCGCCACTTCGTTGTGGATCCAGCTTTGTACAGTACATAATATGGTGCTCCCTAGACAGTCATTCTACCGGAAGTTCTATCTTATTTTTTCACGTTGCTTCCTTTCTTCATCCATCAATCCCATACCAGTAACTTGGAGTGTGCAAGATGGAAAGGGACATGCGAACAAAGTTCAAGTACGAGCCTGATGGCTTCTCTTCATCTGCAAGAGATACCGTGCCTCGAGACCGTGCGGATTTGCAGACTATCCTTCAGGCTATTCCATCACCTTCGCTAGTATCAGTCTCACGAGATTCCCGAAATCAGGAACGGCCATTTCAGCAACACTATGATCGAAATTCTCGTCTCGAAAGACTTCCACCTGAACTTCGAGATCATGTCTTGTCATTCCTGGATCTGGACGGGCTCAAAGCTCTGGTACAGGCTTCGCCTGTATACCATGGTCAGTATCTCTCAAATCGGAGGCGCTTGCTCGGCAGTTGTATGGATGCAACATTGAAGACCGCCACTGTCGAAGCTATAGTTTGTTATGTCTCGGCACGTCTCCAATCTGCTGAGAAATACATGCCGAATGCGGTCCTACATTGTCTGGACGTCTACCAAGCGCGTCAAGCGTTGCCCCGGTATTCCATAATGGATGATAATCCCACTACGGATGAGATTGCAGACATGGCAGCATTCCACCTTGGGATTGTCCGGCCACTCATGCGGGAATATACTGCTTGGTCGCTCGGCAATCTAACCTGGGAGACTGGGACCAGGCCATGTAATACAAATCTTAGTACAACGGAAGAGATCCGACTGCTGCGGTCCATGTATCGCTTTCAGCTCTGGAGTAACCTATTTCTCATCTGCCCTGATACCCAAGACAGACACGGCCCACGACTCGATGGGTTGAAGTTTTTGGAGCTTCAATTCTCTTTCTTTGAACCATGGGAAGTGGAGGAAATCTTCTGTATCAAAACGTTCGCAAAGGTGAAAGTTGACCATATATTTTCCAGGATTCATCGCGATGTGTCTCCCGGCCCCCCTGCTATTCCTGGCCAGCAGATGCCGGCTGGCTTTTTTGATTTTGACCATCCCTGTAAGTTGAGACCGCAATTTGCTCCATTGCTACCGTAATTCAGATTCAACATTCTCAGGATGTATCCCAGCTAATCACGTTCCCAATTCTAAAGTTACGAGGGATTGCCTCCTAAATGGCACAATAGCCCTGGGCCTCAACTTCCTGCACACCGTATTATTCAAAATCAAGGATCATGACCACCTTGTTTCGACCATGCGAAATTATATCGGACGGAAGACTTTCTGTTTCTTGAACAATGATGACGTTGGATTAGACGTCCAGAATAAGCGTCGGAGAAGCAGACCATCTCTTCGCGATAGAAAGCAAGGGCGACGGGATCCTTTACCTTTCCTTGGAGATGTAGTAGTGCCAAGTACAGACACGACCCATCCTCCACTGGCGTGGACCCTTATATGGGAAGGCACGTACAGCAGTCTGGTGGGGTACTTTATAAAGGATAAGGTTCGGAAATGGGGATACGTTATGTGGGATGCGGCCAGATTGGAGAAGACTGGAGCCAAAGAAGTACTGAAACGTCAGTGGGAGTCCGACTGGCTCGGCCAGGATCCGAGAGATCTTGCAATAACATAAAGTGCATAGTTATAGTTGAAGTTAAACCTAGCTACAACTGTCTTATTCAACATTTAGCTTTCTGGGAAATACGTTATGTCATCATCGGCAGACGGCAGGTTTTGAATTATCACATTTATTCTATGATTTACAACCCACTTCCCGAGATTTAAAACCAATGTTGCATCAGCAAAAAGACGGTAAAGTGTCGCTCTGACAATGCAACCTCGTATCCCATTTCATCCAAAATCCCGAACTGTACTACTCCCGGAGAGTGCTCAAGTAAGCAGCCCAATTCATCCATTTGCTCTTATACCACATACTACCCCCCCAAGGGGAAAAGGCACATGGCATCCCGCACTCACCCATGGAACCCCAACCCATCATGATCCATCCGATCTCTTATCGGCGATCCAGACCATCCTCAACCAAACGTCAATGATCTAATCATGATCCATCCTCCCCATTACCCCTCATTTCTTTGTGAGCACCTAAATATCGTTTATTAAGTATATACTCTCCACCTAATAGCCCCATCACCACCGTCTCCCTTTTCTCGCCACCATCCCTAACATAAATATCCCAGCGTCCTTCCAAGCAAAAGGAATGTACCGCCCCATCCTCCGACACCCCCTAAAACACCACCTAATCCAAACAATGTCTGCCCCCACCCAATACGATACCATAATCATCGGCTCCGGGCAAGGCGGCACGCCTCTCGCCCGGGCCCTTGCGCTCGCAAACCACAAAACCGCACTCATTGAGCGAGAACATATTGGCGGATGCTGCGTGAATGATGGGTGCACGCCGACCAAGACGATGATTGCGTCGGGGAGGGTCGCGTATCTTGCTCGGAGGGGTGGGGAATATGGTGTTTATACACCGAATACATCTGGTTCCAATGAGGGGGATAATGGTAATAAAGTGGTGATTGACATGAAGGCGATCAGGCAGCGGAAGAGGGATATTGTGAATTCGTTTCGGGCAGGAGGTGAGAAGAGACTTCGGGATGCGGGGGTAGATGTCATTATTGGAGAGGCAAGTTTTGTGGATGCGAAGACGATGGTAATTATGGACGGGAGCAAGGGGAATGAGAGGGTTGTCAGGGGGGACAGAATTGTGATCAATACGGGGTGTCGGCCTGGGAAGGTTCTGCTTGGGGGACTGGAAAAGGTTCCGAGTGAAAAGGTACTGGACTCTACGTCTATTATGGAGCTGGGAGAGGTGCCGCGGCATTTGGTGGTTGTTGGGGGTGGGTACATAGGGGTGGAGTTCGGACAGCTATTTAGGAGGCTTGGGGCGAAGGTGACGGTGCTGCAGAGAGGAGAGCAGTTGCTTCCAAGAGAGGACAGGGAGTTGGCAGACATGTTGCTGGAGATATTCCGGAACGATGGAATCGAGGTCCGCCTGGAGACCACCCCGGTCCGGTTTGAAAATGTCTCTGAGGGTGTGTTTGATGTCGCAGTCGAGACACGGCAGGGGAGGGAAGTCGTCAAAGAGGCCACGCATATTCTCTTTGCAAGTGGGAGGGTACCAAATACCGAGCGACTAAATGCTGCTGCTGCAGGCGTGAAGACGGATAAGAGAGGTTATGTCGTGACAAATGAGTTTTTGGAAACATCTGCGCCGTCAATCTATGCCATTGGAGACGTCAAGGGCCCGCCATCCTTAACGCATATCTCATACGACGATTTCCGAGTACTCAGGTCCACATTGTTGGAGCCTACATCTACATGTGAGCGGCTCTCGATTCAAGATCGAATGGTCCCGTATGTCGCCTATACGGACCCTCAGTTCGGTCATGTCGGGCTCCATGAGCAGGAGGCAAGGGAAAGGTTCCCGGGCCGGAAGATTCTGACTGCGCAGATGCCAATGAGCTATGTGGCCAGGGCGTTGGAAACAGATGAGACAAGAGGTGCCATGAAGGCTGTGATTGACGGGGAGACTGGACAGATCTTGGGATTTTCATGCTTGGGCGTTGAGGGCGGCGAAATAATGAGTGTTGTGCAGACGGCCATGATGGGGAATCTACCATATAAAAAACTTCAAGATGCCGTGTTTGCCCACCCAACTTTTGCGGAAAGCTTGAATAACCTGTGGGGATTCCTGAATTGAGTACGTTACTTGAAGAAGTTTGCCCATATGGTGTGAATCTTTTGTACCCATTCCTCCACATACAGTGTGAGCACCGAATTAAACCTATGTTCTTGATAACACAGTTTATTTGTAACCAATGCGGGCCGAGTGTGGATTCCTCAATCAAAAACATTGATCTTGTGATGTGTTGTTGACTCCTTGTTTGGGGCTGAAAGCGGGTGGTTTCGGATCCTTCTGACTCACGGTAGCCTCCCCCGAGATCACCCGAGATTTGGATATCTTGACCAAAGCAACTATATGTCTTATTTTCACTTAAATACTTCGGGTTGTTTATCAGTATCCAGTACATGCTGATTATCATAAAGAATCTTGAAAACTGAAGTTCACAACAGACTTCCCCTGTTCACCTCCACATCGCTTGGGTTGCCCGCTGCTCTTTTACCTGAAACCGACGAAACCCTTCCTCCAGAATTGTCTCCAGCATCCCATTTCCAATCCTCTCTTTATTCTCTCATGGCAAACTTTATCCGACATCGACCCCTCCTGACAGGAGCGCTCACCATAGTAACCGTCAGCAGCGCGGTCGCCTATGTCACCAAGCGACGACTCAACCAGTCATGCCCGACGATTGCAATCACAGAACTCACAAAAGCAAGCGCATGTCGCAACCTAATTGAAATACCATCTGAAGAAGCCACGCCGACACCATTGGGCGTTACAAAATCAACTCTGCTATCATCATGGTCAGGCGGCGATAAGACCTACTGGGTCCCATCCTTTGTAGCAGTCCAAGCAGAGGTGCCTATGTCGCAACTTTGGCAATATGGGCTGTTCAGTGACGATGGAAAAGATGACAAGAAGCAAGGCTTGCATCGTCTATCGAAGAATCTCGTTGCTGCATTTGTAGATGCACGCGCGACAGGTTTCGAAGCCTCGGTTTTGGACAGGGATGTGCCGCCGTTATCCTTTGCCACTTCTTCTCGTTTATTTGGACGCCCAAGCGAGATGGGAGCGTTTATGCTTGGGACCTGGGATTCGGAGCGTGGGATGAATGTTCGCCCATCGGACTTGCCTTCTGATACTCCGAAGCCGGTCACGGAATTTTGTTCTAATGAAGAAGCTGTCAAGTATGGAGGTGCTAAGGAAACAGCTGGTGCTGTGATGTACTGGATGTTTCCAAAAGCATTGGTCGAAGGGGTCGACAAGGCTGCATCGTATGGCCTACCGTGGCGATCTATGGAGGGTGGATTTCAGGAGTTCATTGTCGAAAGGATTTCGGATGACAAGGCGAGGATAACATATGTCACTGTTGAGTGCACGAATTTGCATCCTCTTGGCCAGCCAGAACGGGACTTCAAGATGTTGCCCTGGCTGCTTTATGAGGCGCATGTTCTTTATGCACAAATACTGTGGTCGAAGACTCTGAGACGGTTACAGCGATCGCAGACGACTGTAAAATAGATATGTTAAATGTGTAAATTTTACCTCTCCGCTTATGACTAGTCCTCTCCGCTTGACAATCTTGTAGATACATACGAGACCATCTTCACTTGTCGATGTCTTGGAGACAACTCTCATTTTGGATTGCGCTCATCGTCTCTTTTTCTTGGCGCAAAAGATTTCTTTTTCAACCCGCCCCAGATTTCCCCACGCAAATTCAATCCCTTTAGTTCAACCACCTGTGCAAAATCCTTGTCCTTCTCCATCTGTTTAAGATCAATACCCAGAGCACTAGCTATGAGTGGAGCAAGATCGTGTGCCGCACAGACTCGGAAGTCGCCACTCTGAACACGCTTCTTCTTCCGTCTTTCCAGCCGCTCGTCTAAGCCTTCCTCTAGCGTTTCTGAGAATGTCTTTCCGCGGGTATCTGTAACAATGTGCTTAATCTTTTCGGCTTCTTCTGGGGAGAAATATGGTTTGCCGATGTAAGACGGGTCCGTGACTTATCCAAACGCTTCTTTGACGAGTCTTTATTGAAGTTTCTCAAGTCAAAAACGAGGACGTGGACTCGGTACCAAAAAGTGGGGGATAAGGATGATCCTCTGAGGTCTGAAAGGGTGATCAGCGGTGTTGGTGGTGAGTTCGGTCGGGCTTGAATGTCCGTCATCTCGAATGCTTCTGGTGGAGTCGCCATGGTGGAAATTTGGACAGTAATTTCGCTTTCAAGGGTATTAGACTGCAGTACTTACTAAATGAAGGTAGGAAAGTTCTTTCGAAAATGCAAGGTGATCGTAAAATGACTCTGCTTCTGTCACATTTACGTCGTTCTTTGGTGGAATTATGTCAGTTCTACGAGATATTTCTTTTTTCCAGAATGAGGCAGCGAGCGCATTGCTCAAGTTTAGCAACAGACTATCTTTGTCAGTTTACTCTCACATTCATTTCAGATACAGAATACAGGTCAGCTTTCTTTCAGACTTACCCGGTATGCTTTCAACCATTTGGTCTTGGATAAGGTTCATTTTGTGGTATAAGCGAGTTCATCTAATGACCACGGCCAATATATATAACCTAGTGATACCAGATCAACGCCATGCCATCTGTCAAGTCGCCCATAGTATTTTACTTATAGCCATATCATCTCCCAGCTCAAATGGCCAAGTGTCTAAATTATATCAATCAACCGATGGTCATCCAAATTAGGTCACCGTGACCGAGTTTTCGGAGATAGTGACTAGTAGAGGCCTGGCTATTGATTCCACCGACGCTTGGCAGTTGTTCTCATACTGAGACAGTGACTTATAAATCCTATTCTCGGTCGGACCGGTGCACATCACTTCCCTTTAAGATAATTCACGAAATCTTAATCCTCGGTCCCGTACGCACCCATGGGTCTACAATTCTATCGCAAAATCTGACCACGCAAGCAGTGGAGACGACGCATCAACTTAGTGATGACTAAGAATGTCTCGTACCTGCATCTCGTCCGGCTTCTGACCTTCCTAAACGCCTAGCGCCCAATTAAGGTTTCCTTCCACTCCTCACTACCATCATATCATGCTCATCTGGCTATCAATCGAGGAGTGGAACGCTGAAGATTGCGGAGGCTAAGCTTGTTTAAGCTTGGCTGTGCTTGGCTTTGATTCCGCATCCTCTTGGCGTTGCTTGGCAGGGCGGAGATAGTTTCCTTTCTTCTGTCTCCTGGGCCGACCTGGCTACTATAAAGCTACAGAGAATCATGGTCGGAGTCACAGAAACCAGGCAGAGTCTTCAAACCATTTCCTATTTCAACTTGAGACCACAATGTCCGCCGCCCTCTTCCTCGGCCTCCTTGGCCTCACAGCCCCCCTGGCTGCCGCAACCACGAGTATCCCAGGCCTCGAGCTCGTATACTCCCTTGAGCGCGCCACCCAGGGCATCAGTATCTCCGCTGATGGCCGTAAATTCCTTTCCCAACGTTACTCGACCACACTGCCCCCTCAAATTGTCGAGCTCCTGGACGACAATTCCACGGTCTTTTACCCAAACACGGCCTGGAACTCCTATAACTCGAGTGACCCTACCTCCGACCCACGCAAGACCTTCGTCAGTATTGACGGCGCCCGCATGGGCCCCGATGGTCGCTACTGGATTGTCGACGGCGGATCTACTGGCGTCAACGGCTCCACCAAGCTCGTTGGCGTGAACCTCACCACCGACGCCGTGGACAAGCTCTACTACCTCGACGCCATGAAAGCAACCGACAGCGGCATTGACGACGTCCGCTTCAACGCCGCTGGTGATGTGGCCTACATGAGTGACACTGCCGGTGCCCTACTCGTCATGAATATGACTACCGGCACGGGTGTGCGTGTTCTGTCCACCGACTCTTCCGCCCAAGCCTGGTTCCCTATGATGTACAATGGCACTCTGGTCCCCGGCTACGGCGCCGCAGGTAGCACTCTTTCTGTTGGACTCGACCAAATCGAAGTCTCGCCCGACGGTGTGTACCTGTACTACCAGCCCTGTAATGGTGGCTTGTACCGCATCAAGACAGCGTACGTTGATGCGTCTCTCAAGAATGCGACTCTCGCATCGACGTTGGGTGACTATGCAGAGCCTTTTGCCCTGACGCCTAGCACTGGTGGTACTACTATCGATGGGGATGGAAACATCTATGTTAGTGATACCAACTTGCTGGCTATCTGGAAGGTCACGCCTGAGGGACGCGCGACTGTACTTATTCAGGATGAGAAGCTGCTTTGGACAGATCTTATGTGGGTTACCGCTGATAAGAAGCTTTGGCTGCCTGCTTCGCAGATGAGGCCTGGTGGTGATGGTTTGATGGCTGATGGGCCCAACTATATCTTTACCTATCCGATTGATGCGGGACCTTCGCCCATTGATCATGCTTAGGGGAAGTTCTTTTGGTGTCTGATTTATGGGGTGATGATGGTGTATAGTAATGCGCCGAGAGATAGGTTGTTGAATGTATATGATATGGTTATTCATGGACGAAAGAGCTTGTAAACTCTTTGAGTTGGCAGAGTAATATAGTCAATAAAGGAAGAGTTCAATCGTGACGGCCTTTCGGCTAGTACGCGCGACCGACATTATCTAGACGTTAACAGGAGGGCCAGCCCAGCCTTGCGAGCGGCTACCGGGCACCCAGCTATCAGGGATATCCCAGCTTCCCCGTCCAATGAAAGCCTTTTACATCCCGTCTAGTGCAGCCTTGCAGATGGACTAAACAGAAACAGCTTTCTAGCGCTTACAGCCTACCATCACCCGACGCGGAGCTCTCACGCCAATACAATAATACACGGCTGCTGGGGGTCGCACTTACCCCGAGCAGCACCTTACGACGGGAGAGTAGTGGCTATGGCTGGAGATGTTTTTTCTGACGCCCAGTCCTTATCAGTACCCATCTCGATTCCAATCTCACCCAATATCTTCTGCTTCTTTGCTTTCTATGTGTATCCCTGCTTTTCCGATATCGCCCCAGACTTAAACGCGACTACGAACCGAGGTCGCGCCCAGCAACGGCGAAGGTTCAGGCTCCACGTCAGGGAGCCTCGATCAATTTAAGCGTCAAACACTCCGATATTATCTCCTCACATTGGTAGAGGCCGACCCTCAATCCCTAGTTCGACTTGGCCTAAATTGAAAATTTGTGATAAGGCATTGATTAGGCTGCAAAGTGTAGTGGGCGGTGCAGCATAGCCTCCGCGCGGCTGATTACTTCCTCATCAGTGCAAGAATATCCCTTTCCTTCAACGCTCTCTCAGTCCGAAGACTGTCTTCCGCAATAACATAGTTTCTATTCTCCAGCAGCATTTACCGTGCTCAGATAGCCCAAATCAATGGAGGCTGTTGGATCTGCATCAGCAATCATTGGGATTGCAACAACCGGGATTCAATGCTCCATCAAGCTACTTACGTTTGCGGACCAAATCAAGTCCGCCCCGGATGAGATCAAAAATATTGCCGAGGATATCTCAGTCAATGCCAGTATCCTGCAGCAGTTGGGTGGTCTAGCTGACGAGGCGCTATTTCACACCCAAGCAGCACCAGATGCCAGCACCAACAACAGCATCAGCAATGGAAAGGCACGGATGGTCAACCCTGAGGCCACTGATTACAGCGATACAGAAAGCCATGAGCCACAGAACGGAATATTTAACGCAGCCGGCATTGCGATCGTCGTGAATCTCGCTTCAAAATGTAACGCTATCTTCAAAAGGCTCGAAGAAGGACTGAGGAAGGCAAGTAAGCAGCTGAGGACAAATCCTCAAAGCAAAGATCCCATCAGACTTAGTCCAGCTGAAATGGTGAAATGGCCATTCGTCAAGCCCCAAATGGATGCCATGAGGGCAGAACTACGCAATGCAAAGGGGACTTTGATGCTCATGCTTCAAGTTGCGATGCTACGCTACTCGAAGAAGGTTATGGAGGGGTAAGTCTGGTTCAGTACGTATGCCTAAGTTTGTCTAATGTCTGATGAACGGAGTAGACATGCCACGAGAACAAGTCTAATCGCATATTCCGAAGAAGATCAGTATCTGCTGAAAAGATCGATCGTGGCTGCGGAGAGAGCTCGAATTGATATCGCGAAAAACCGAGACGATACTTTGGCTGGAAATCAAACTGCTAGTGTGACGGAGAGGGACACCGTCGATGAGAACTTACAACCTGCGGAGATGACTACTACCGCGGCAATTTCCCTTCAATTGCGACGACCTCCCAGTCTGGAAAATGACGCTAGTCGGGGAATTCCACAGTGGGTTTATCCTTATCTTTATCCATAGCTATTCCACTAGTTATAACTAACTCTATGGACAGAATCTCGTCCATTGAAGGCAAGAATTTGGACTGCCAGCCTCATAAAGATATTGCTTTCTGCTCTGCATATACCAAGCCAAGTGATGCAGACAAAGCACTAGCTGCAGATGGCGATATCAGTAATCCAAGCAGAACGGATCCGGTCAACGAGGGATCTGGGTATGACCTTGACTCTCTCTACTATTCTTCTGAATACATCGACAGATCATCCAGCGTATCTATCAGCTTAGCCACGAATGTGTCACTCGGTGTATACTTATTAACACCGAAGCTTCAGATATCGCATGGGAAGCACCACGTGCAGTACCGAGTCCGGCGTGTGAAGGTCCCACGCCAGGATATTGACTCCCAGATAGATCAGTGGAAGACATCATCTAATAGTACAGTACTCAACCAGCTTCTTGCTCTATCGGCCGATGAACAACAGGCACTAGATGCACTCAATCTTGATGGTGACCATGACAACATCGCGGGCACCGACGCAATCGAATGGATACATGTCGGCGAGTTCTTACCTGTTGATGGATTCGATGATATCCGAGCAAGAAGTATCACGTTCATCGTGAAACTCAAACACCCATCCACAACAGTTAAACGAAGAGACCCGAAGTTAGAGGTCTTGAAAGATCAGCAGAATATTGCAATCGACTTCAGTGTAATTTTCTCCAAATAACGATATGGCCCGATTTCCAGGATAACTCTGACTTGACGTCGTAGGTAAATCGCCACAGTATTTTCCCTGAGAGTCTTAACGCATTTGGTTTACCATGGAAGTGGAATGTGGTATGTATCAACTTGATGAACTCCCACCATTCAGTAATAGAAATTCTAATCATGGAACTAGAGTGATTACAACTATATGCTTGTCAATAAAGCTATGTTCAATCATTTTGAAGGGGAATTATTAGCACACACAGGTCTATAACGCAGCTTGGCAGCAATCCAACGGAGCCGGAGATTGACGACCGAAAAAGATACAGTTGTAGCGGGCTTTTGCTTCAGATCAAAGGTTTGCTGAAAGCTATCAGGCCCAGACCCAGACTCAAATCCAACGGTTTTAGAATTTCGCCTGGTTACGTGCCGGGGGCAAGGTATTATGGAGGGGGTCAGGGAGTGGCAGGGTGTGGAGGAGGAGGGGTGGAGGAAGCAATCATTGAGCGCATTTTACAAGACATCCCTACTGACCGTCCTAATGCCTACGTTCACAGCGAGGGAGTTCATTACCATGCCAGTTATGACAGTTACGATCCCCAGGACCAAGGGGCTCAGCCTAATCTTAGCGATCTGAGACCTCTCGCGGGTCTTGTTAATACTTGGCCTCGAGCCAGCCGCTCTCCTTCCATTACTTCGGCTGTCGTTGAGTCCCTTCCTCCTATGCCCTCACCCACTGTACATGCAGTGAAGCCAAATGAAGAGGAGGAAGATATGGAAGGGATAGTGAGCGAGCTTTTAGATAGATATACGGCTGCGTGATAGTCTTTGAAGATCTCTAATGCGATATTTTTCCCCCTGTTAATGCAAGGCAGCGAGGCTCGCAAAACACACTTTCCAGTATTGGAAGAATGAACAGAAATATCAGAGGGGAGATTAAAAGGAAGAAAATCAAGTTCGTGAGGAATAGTCAATGATCTCAGGGAAGCAATCGCCCCTGCTCGGGATAAGAAACCAACATCCGATCCCGAATAGGAAGGCCCGGGATTTCCGACCACAAGGCAAAATAGCATGTCTATCACAGAACTTGCATTCGAATAAATTGAAATAACCTGGCTGCCTGCACAATGACATGGTTCTTGTGATGGAGATAAATTTGTCTATGACGATAAAGTGGAGAATCCATATGCTGGCAGTGTGAGCGTTTGTGGAATCCATCCAAACAAGGCTTGAGGGAATTTCTACTCGATGGCAAGGTAGCCAACGAGGGACTCCGTGCCTCAATTACGCAGTAATATAGACTTATCTTTGTCGTAATTTTGCAATTTAAGCCTGGCAGAATACAAACAGACACAGACAAGGCTCTCAGAAACGTGAATGAACAGAGCGACGAACACCTCACGCGCATCCGTGCTGTTTGAGTAGCAAACCTGCACATCTTGGCCCACTGGTTCATACTATAGAACTTAGAAGATATATGTTCCTGATCCTTCCCGAACACCGAAGATCGAGTCGGCCCTTGGAAGGATGGCGTAGCGTAGCATAGCTGGCTTAGTTGATCCTCCGGGCCGACCATTCCCGGCGATAGGTCAGTTTCGGCTCGACGGAAGGAATGTCATTGCTGTTGCAGGCCCAGCCAACGAATTCCGTCGTCATAAATCATAGGGCTTGCTTACCATCCACCAAGCACTAGATAGAGGTAATCGATCCTACGTCGCTTTGGCTGCTGAGATGACGTGGGTGAGTGTATATGTGGCAGTCTTATGCGTCCGCAGTCTGACCCGACAATCCGAGTGGTTGTTCAGGTAAACAGTGTGTGCATAGAACATTGGAGGTATCAGGTACAACAAGGTAAGACAAAAGACGTCAGTGTTCGTGCTAAAAGTCGCTGGATTTGAGTTTGGAGATGATCGGCAGTGCTTATGAACATAGCTTGTAATTGGATGATAGATACTGGCATTCATATCGATAGATTTCACCGTTGCTGCAGGGCATCCCTGTGAGGGTAACACTGCATCTGCACTTTGGTTTTTCAATCACCAGAGCCGGATGAAACGGCACCAGCACAGACCAATCCCTTGCCTGTTAGTTATACCGACTGCAGCGACCGTTGACGCGGCGTTGTGCACAGGCCAGTTAGCATAACCTGCGACATGTGACAAGGTTTATACACGTATTCCAATGCACCCTTGCTCTGATTCCAGACTTCCATCTGGCCCCAGATCATAGCCGGTTAATGGAGCGGCCGGATAGTTATGCAAAACCCAAATGTCCTGGCACAATGGCATAACTCTAATACTTATCCTGCCATTCGCTCCGAGAAGGTGGGCGATCGACATAACCCCTCTTTCGAAGTCTCGATGTGCCGAGCAGAACTCCACTTTGATGTTTCCCCGCTCGGCCGGTATAGCTCGAATTACGCCCACGAAAGCAGAACACATATCGAGGCTTCGAAGATAACACGTTGTATCCCTCATCGGAACATCGGAGCTCAAGAGCCGAGCATCACTTGCATCGGAGTGATGTATGGGGGATGGGCCGAGGCCTTTTCCTGGTAATCGCTTCATGCAGCTTAGCTGGTCGCTAGCGGGTCGTGTGCTGGCTTTATAAAGCATTGGCTGGCCTTGTGCAGCTTTGCTTCGACATAACCAGGCCGGCTGTTGCAACGTCAGGCGACTCCTTTATTGGAGTGAAGGAGATAAATAGCATCCCTAGCCCCGTCACCCACCGCAGTGTGCATTCGATACAAACCAGCGCTTTTTCTCAGACCGTTTGATTGCCGGTTATTGTTATCTCCATACCTCAGCATGATTCACGAAAGTATTCAAGGGGCCCTCCAGGGGCATTATCTAACAGTAACCGCTGGTATAGTCAGTGCAACCCATCCAGACGTAAGGGGTTGACGGTTGCTAACACGTGCCTTGGATTACCACAGTTACTTCTCTTCTTGGTGGGAAAATGTTTTTACGAGTTGTACATCAACCCTCTGCATAAGATCGCCGGTCCGAAGCTGGCGGCGATTACCCGTCTGGTGCATATGTATCACTCCCTTATGGGCGATGAGCATGTTTGGGTGAGAAACCTGCATCTGGCCTTCGGAGACACTGTCCGGATCTCGCCCGATCAAGTCAGCTACTCGTGCGCCGACGGATGGAGAGATATCTACGGCCATGCCAGTGCAACAAAGAAATCCACTGAAAAGGACATGCGATTCTTCGGCACCACACTTAACGGAACCCCGGACGTCATTCGTGCCAAAGCTGCCGATCATTCACGCTTTCGTCGAAATTTTTCACATGCTTTCTCGGACAAGGCTTTGCGCGAGCAGCAGCCACTCATTGCTCATTATGCGGACTTGCTCATCGAGAAGCTCCGAGAAGTTGTCCAAGCAGATCCCAAGGCCAAGATCGAAATGGTTTTGATGTACAATCTGACCACATTCGACATTATGGGTGACTTGACATTCGGAGACCCACTGAATCTGCTGAAAGGTACCGGCAACGTGGGGTGGGTGACATCGATCTTCTCCAGTGTGAAGATCAATTCACTCCGACGTGTCGCACGATACTATCCATGGTGTTCTTATTTCTTGAACTCTCTTCTCCCTCGGTCCTTGAAGAAACGGCAAGCGTCTCATTACCAGTCATGCAAGGATAGGGTAGACTGGCGGGTTGATCAGAGCCTGGATCGCCCCGACATTTGGGGCCTGGTCATGTCGCAGAAAGAGTCCCTGCGCTTGAGCCGTGAAGAAATGTACGCCAACTCACAACTGTTCATGGTAGCTGGGACGGAAACCACCGCAACAGCGTTGAGCGGCCTCACGTATCAATTGTTGCTGAATCCTGACAAAATGGAGAAAATCACCAAGGAGATTCGAGACGCCTTTGAACGAGATTCGGACATCGATATGCTGCGGTTAGCACAGTTGAAGTACCTGAACATGTGTATCGACGAGGGCCTTCGGATGTATCCCCCTGTCCCTGCCGGGATGCCCCGTCTCACTCCGAAGGAGGGTATGGAAATTTGCGGCGAATATATGCCTGGCAATGTGAGCAGCACTACTCAGCTTACCTGGTTTTTTTTTTTTTTTTTTTTTTTTTGCAAGTACGGCCTTGGACTAATATGTACATGCAGACGGCTGTCTCCGTACATCACTGGGCGACATATCGCAACCCACGAAACTTCACCCGGCCAGACGACTTTCTTCCGGAGCGATGGAGTAGCGACCCGCAGTTTGCTGGTGACGACAAGGCTGCTTTCCAGCCCTTCTCTTTCGGCCCTCGCAACTGTCTGGGGAAGAAGTGAGTACCCCTAGCCATGGTGTCAATGCTCTAGTGAGCATGTCTAACATCTGAACTAGTCTCGCCTATCATGAGATGCGACTCATCCTAGCCAAGGTCCTATACCACTATGATCTAAACCTGGCATCTGAATCAGTCGGCTGGGACAAGCAGAACACGTGGACGCTGTGGCAAAAAAATCGATTGATGGTTCAACTGACCCCCCGGGTTTAGACGGAAGCCATCGATGCACATCTGAGTATCTAGTAAGGATGGGAGATTGTATACAGGGTTAGCTTAAGCATATGGGCTTGAGCTATGCTGGCGAAAGTTGATAGTGATGTTCCTTTTTGGAGGTCAATGATGATATGATGATTCTCCCAGTCGTCCTTCTCTACAAACTATCCAATCAACCTCATCCGTTCGGGTCAAAAGGCCCACGGTAAGTGCCGTCGATACAGCGCGCTCCCGGTCCTTGCCCTAAGGGACAAATTTAGTATGTAGTTGTATGTAGTCAATGTCTTAACATAATGTATCCGACAGCAGCGGAAAAACCGGCGTGGAAACCAGAATCAGCGAGGCACCCTGCACTTTGCGGATGGCAACAAGCTTTCCTGAAGTGGAAAAGGCACTGGCGGTAAGCCGATCGCGCATGACGTCATGTGGCATTGTGGCAGCTGTCCAGCGCAAACAAATTCCGACCGCCAGGGATTCGCAATGCATCGTGGGGATTCCCCAGCTTGCTCAGGCTGGGTGGAAGATGATTTCATGCTTCATTACGACATGGCGGTTGCTTGGGTATGACGTCTAAACAGGGTTTTGAGCCTGGACGGTTGCCACGGTCGCATAGTCTAGAATTCTCGCTTACTGATCCAGTGTGACGAAAGAATGCTCTAACAAGGCTAAGACACGGGATCCTGCGAGATTTGTGTGGTGTCAGCTGATCATACTGATCATTCTTCCTCCAAACAACTCATCCTCCAGCGAGAGAAGCCAGCGTCGCTGTAGATGTTATGCAGCCTCGCTTGGCATCGTTCTGGTAATGGAGGAGGGTGCAGAGAGGGGGCGACAGTGTGGTATTCGGTGGTGAATGTTTGGGAGCTCAGTATACACTGTCGTGGATGGCATTTAAGCTTCGTTTCTCATATTTGTATAACACCGTTAACATTTGCAGAAATATTGAACCGAAACTCGAAGCGATAATTTTTCATCAGCCGGTATTTGTTCCGGCTATATTAATGGACCTGGGGTTTCACCAGGCAGTGTGGTTTTGGTCCATACCTGCCGCATAAAGGACGCTGGCTCGGAGCTCGGGGCTTTGCGCCGCAGAAGCTGACAAGATACCTTCATACCGGTTTCGCCCAAATTACCAGCAACCTTACAGCAAAGAGGTAGCTCGAATGATCGAGTAGTTGTGTTGTAGTCAGTCACAACCCGCAGAAGGCTAGTCCATGACTGCCACGTCCGTGCTCTGTAAAAGAAGCCTGAAGGGCAAGAGACCTTCACAACACTGCCGTCGATCCTTAGCAAGGACAGCCTGAATTGCCACCAATTTATGATCCTTATTGCTACGCTTCACTGCCAGACCATGCGCGGCAGTCTGTCGCAAGTGCAGCTTAACATGGCCAAACCTTCCACCGATTTCTCTGGCTCTGCAGTATCGAGAACTTCCCCCGTGGATTCAATCTATGTTTTTTTTTTTTTTTTTTTTTTTTTTTTGCCAAGGTAAACCTATTTTGAAGACTTGTGCGTCCGGCTCCACTGCTCTGTTGTGTGGCCGAGGTCAAGGAAAGTGGGCCTTATTGGGCAAGGCATTGTCATGCTGATAGGCTTAATGTGCAGCGACAAAGCGTGACAGGATTCCGACGTTTCAGCTAGTATCGGGGACGAGTTTTCGATGGGAGACGATGACTGGCACGATCTCGACAAGGGCAGGGTCAGTGACAGGATGTCAATAATATGGGAAATGAGGGGGAAGAGGGAGTGATTCATGTCACGCCCAATTGCGATCGCCTCTTACCAGGATGGGTAGGATTTCCCTTCTGCGGGTGGATGATTGGCTACAGGCTTGTCTCTCACATCCCGGTGATGTTCGGCAACGTAGGCAGAAATCCAAACATGCCTGGCAACAAGATTGAAGTACAGAGGAAATACTCGAGCTTACCTGATGTTGATCTAGGCCTCTGATGCTGCCAGATGATAGTACACCCTGTGATTCCGGACAGTGAAGTGAGGGTCACACCTGCCTAGAACGGTCGGTTCTGCCTAAGCTACATGAGTGGAGGCATGACAGCTGCACTAGACCAGGGTAACACCAGGTCTAGGTGCGCTCGGAGATGCCCACCGATGCAGGAAAGCTGTTGAGGTTAGTGGGCACCAAAGGAACGAATTTTGTCGACAGCAATGAAGCTAGGTGATGCAACCCAGACGACGACGGGCATTTTCCGAGTGGTCTAGTCTGACACCTGGTGAATTGAATCGACAGGGTTGGACCTCCCCATTTCTCCGAGACGGCGACGTGGACTCAGAATGTTTTGGCCCGCAATTGGAGCTATTATTCGATAATCGCGGACGCTAGGGTAGGGGCCGCGATGGCTCTCTTCCCTCCTAGCCGATAGGGGATGTGGATTGCGATGAATGGAGGGGAAGTGAGAAGGGGGGAGGGTAAGAAGAGGATGGAGTGAGAAAAAAAGAAAAAAAAAAAAAGAAGGCGATTTAAACCCAGCGGCGGAAGGGGATGATAGTACCAGAGCAAGCAAACATCCATGCAAAACGGGAAGGATGGGCGTGATCATGGTCTCACATGATCGGCTACTTACTGAATCCAGAAGGTTGATGGCTGAGGTGTCGGTGGTTGTTCGGTGGTTGCTACATTGAGCTCGGCTGGGCTGGTTGGATTTCCTTCCCATCGACCATGGCTTTTCACCCTTCCCACTGCCAAGGATATCTGGCTCTCCCTTGACACATTTGTGTCACCTCTGATTGGGCTTCGGAATTGCTCGCGTGGAAATCAGATTTCGCATCGGTGCCCGAGCTCTGGTGGCGCATCGCTACTGTGTATCTGCTGGCCTAGTCTCCTGTACATACAGGTAACAGACACAGAGGGCTGCTAGTATGGCGCACTTGCTGGCATGAGGGTCCGATCACCACCAATGAGTGCGCCTATACGGGGGATTACTACTATGTTTAGGCCCATTCTCCGTCACGAAACCTTGCGACCTGAAATGCAGACAGCCAACTTTGCCTGCAATGCGGGTGAGGTGACGGTCTATTACCGGCCGGTAAAACCCATGGCGCAAGATTGTGCGAAAGACCAAATGCAAGCCTATTTACTTACCTCGTACCTCTTGCCTATTACGATGACACTAAGGACCCGCTTATCATGGACGCATGCAATGTCGTAGGTTCAAGAGGACTCGTACTGAGCGTAGCGTGTCTCCTCCCCTTCCTTCCCGTTGTTCCACCCGAGCGCATGTCTTGTCTCGGTCCCAGCCCGTCCAGTGTGGTTCGAGTGTGATGTTTGCTGGAGGACTCAAGACTCTGTCACTGGCTGTAGTGGAGAACAGGCTCCTCTCCCTTCATGTGTGTCCTTCCCAACTGGGTTAATATCAAACTCCCTCTGCGAGGGGGGGGGAGTGACAGCACTACTGTGTTTTCTAGTTGACGATATCAATTAACAAGCGCTCGCTGCACGACGCTCTGGAACGTCGCGTTGCCACCGAATGACTCGGTCAAACGAGGCGTGTGCGATGCGATGGCGTAGCGCATATCCCCAGCGGCCCTTTTCATTGGGCGTATCTAGGCTGACAGAAGGCCTGAGGCGAATAGTAGACGGGGGCGAACGGGTTGACGGGGTGAGTGGTTTGAGCGGTGTATTGGGCAACATTGTCTGGAAAACAATTCCGTGAGGGTCAACCGGTTCCTGCCCGTTGATGTCAAAGTCGAGGCGCAGAAATGAACTCATAGTTACATTTGAGGATCTTCAGATAGGCGACGCTTGCTGCGATCGCAGGCCCGCGGCGCGTCAGGTGATTCGCCCGGAAACCCGCCGGGGAGAGGGGGTTGCCGACCAGGTTCCACCGCAGCTCATGCAAGCCTCCATGGCTGGCCGGCAAAGAATTGAGTGGCCGGCTGTTACTTCCCCTTCGACAGTGTCTTGATCATTGGATGTAGCTGACTTTCTGCAGGCGCGATCAGTAGCGTGCCGCTTTTTGCCACTGCCGATGGACAGCCTCCACACCCCTGGGTGATTGACTGGGTCGCAGACTCCATGTGTTCATGGGAGGAGAGGAACAAGAAAAAGAGAGTTAAGACCCGACCTGACCGGATCTGACCTCGGGTACTAAGCCAATACGGTATACAAGTAGGTACGCATATTGTTATATTTATTATCTACTAGAGGCAACAAAGCTAAAGTATGTATCTTGGTAAATCTTTGGTATTATTGCGGGCCTAATCAGGTACACCCGCCCAATTGAACTTGTGTAGTACTCCATTATTTTCCTTCCAGTGGTACTAGACTACCAAAGCTGGGAGTTGCCAGGTACAGGGCTCCCGAAGGTCCCAGCGATGCGGTCTGCTAACCTCAAAGCGGTAATAGTGATAGGACCCAAACTCCAGTCAGTTCTCCGGACCTTGTTTGTTTCTCAGGCCTCGGATGGGAGACGTTCGTTCGCTGCTTCATAATTCGATTCCCATGGCCTATGCAGGTTAGGCCCGGGAACCATCTGGCGGAATGATGAGGGTATTTGCCATTTTGGTTCTACCGGCTCCGACACTTGGACGGCCGAAGATAGTTTGAAATTCCCCAACTGACACTAGCGCCCCCGGTAGTGATTGGGCGGATAGTAGTGCCACCAGCGACAGGCCGGGCCAAGACTGGGGCTGCCCGCAGGCTTGTCCTCTTTGGGACTGGTGGTTCCCGATCCTTTTTTTCTTTAATACGGAACAAGTTACGGAGTACTTACTACTGATTCTTGCTTACTGACTGCAGACTGAATGACTTTCCCTCTGTAGTAATCCACAGTCTCTTTCTCCCATCCCCGGCCGGAAGTCTCGACGGGCCCACGGAAATATGTCGCAGCCTCTGCTGCTTTCCAGAAACATCAAGGTCTGTCTTACGGCCTCCCATCCGCACTGCTGACTGGCTGTCGCGTTTTAAGCTTCCTTCCCTCTGGGTCTCTGGGTGTCCGGGTGCTGGAGTGTGTATTTCCTTTTTTTTTTCTTGTTTTAATTTTGTCCCTTCTCTTTTCTCTTCTTGTATGCATTTCCCCTTTTGGTCTCATCTGTTGTATACTCGAATTTTTCTGTCCCTTTGCAATTCCATATTGGGTATTTTCTGGGATTTTCGATTTCCTCGCACCCTTTTTCGCCCGCTTCGTCTCAAATGGTGTTTTCCCTTTTGGTTTTCTTTTTAGTGTTTTGAATTCTCCATCTGTGATTTTTTTTTTTTTTTTTTTTTGACCTGTGGTTCTTTTTACTTTTATACCTCCACTTGGATGCCGATGCAGCCACAGATCCAGGCCCGGAAAAGCAAATCCTCTAACAATAGGTTGGGTCTTCGGCTCCCTATATAAAATTTGGCCCTTTTAAAAAAGTAGCAACAATCGTTGTTACTAGTACTGGCATTTCTTCCTTGAATCACCACCGTCGCCCCTTCTCCTGCCTCCTTTCCAAACCCTGGGGCTTACTGTCGTTCACTTAGTCTACCTTTTTTTTTCTCTTTCTACTAGTACTACAACATACTACTTAGACGGTCAAAGGGGGGCCATTTTCCACTCACCCATCATTCCCACAACACTATTGCCATCTCCTCCCGCCAACCGAACCCCACCCCCATTGAACTCCCTGTATCCGTTCCTTCGGGTCCTTTCTTCATCTCTTCGCCTCTTCTCTTTTCTCTCTTGCCAGGGCGATATCCCCTCGTGTGGTCGTCTTGTTGTTCCCATCATTGTCATATATGTCCGACTCGCAATCCTCCTCCTCCCGCTTTCTAGCCCCCGCTCCTGGCCAGCCCCCAACTGCCAAGGTGGCGGACAATGTAGTTCAGGGTCGCAAGCACAAGACTACCGCCTGCAAGGCGTGTAAACAGAAGAAGCTCAAGGTGGGATTTCTTCATTAAGCCCGTTGTCACTGGTATCTTCATACCATCACATCGCGTCCTGTTCGTCGGCTGACCCCCTCAAGTGCAGAGGTGATCCACCATGTCAACACTGCGTGGCAAACGGCATCCCGTGCCTGGTCGACGAGATGGCCGACATGCGTCGCAAATACGCCATGAAGCGAAAATTGGACCGTCTCGAACAAGCGGAAGAGACGCTGCTACGACTCATTGACGCGCTCCGGGAAAGTGAGAGCAAACGTCTCGCCCAGCTCTTGAATCTCATCCGGAGTAATGCCTCCTTCGAGGAGCTCCAAATCTTCCTGGAGCAACAATTCACTGGGCGCGAAATCGAATTGTCCCCAGAACTGCGCGAGATCCAAAGTCAGATATCTCGCCCCTCCGACGATGATGAGGAGGCGCAACCGCCTTCGCAACCCCGATCCTCCCGCCGCGTTCTGGATGTCCGCCGTCTCGCCGATAACCCCGTCCATCAAGTTCCTGCGAAGCCGTGGACAACGGTCACTGACGACGGTGACCTGGTATCTCACCTCGTTTCGCTGTGGTTGACCTGGACCTATCCGTTCTTCCACTGGCTGGATAAGGATGCTTTTCTACGGGACATGCGGGCCGGCAATCTCGACTGCCGGTTCTGTTCCCGCTTTTTGGTCAATGCCATTCTCTCAGAGGCTTGTGTAGGTGTACCCGATCTTTTGAACATGTACCATTCACCGCAGGACTAACTAACTTGATGCTGATTCTAGTACTACTCTGACTATGCCGAAGTGTTCACCGTCCCCAACGACACGCTCACGCGGGGTGATCATTTCTACGAAGAAGCCCGTCGGCTCCTGGAAGAAGAGGAGGGAGGAGCTACAATACCAACTATCCAAGGTCTATTGGTTCTGTTTGTCCGGTAGGTGGGTGAAGCTGCATGCAATGTGGGAGATTCTAACAGTGTTGGGCCTGCAGGATGGTCATGATGGGCAAAGACCGATTGGGTTGGATGTACCTGGATCTAGCTATCCGGGGGGCGGAGGAGTATGCGGAACGCCATCCTCCTGGGATAGCCGGCCAGGGGGCAGACCCTGCGTTCGAAGAAATCGTTAATAGGACTCTCTGGGGTGCCTTCAACATTGCTTCGTAAGTGAAAGCCCGTCTGGATAACAGGAGCATTTACTAACTAAGATTGGTGGCAGGACGGCGACTGTGTCATTGATGAAGCATATCAACGTCAACCCCCCGCAGCGTCCACGCATCCCCGTCACCCACGGCGACCCGGACGATCTATGGTACCCATACCCGCGAGAGGTGGATGCCGTCCGCGGGCATCACAATTGTGTTTTCGATCGATGGTGCGACTTTTGCTGCATCATGATGCAGATCAGCCGGGGATTTCATGACCCTGAGCACCTTGTTGCCCCTTCGCAGATGATCGGGTTTGTTGATGGCATCTACAAACAGCTCCAGGAGTGGTACGCTCATTTGCCACCGTGCTTAAATGCGGATGTGGCGACCGTCCCCCACGTTTTGAGTATCCAGTGAGTGTTTTTGCCTCTCCCCTTCACAGGATGCCTCTTGTGTGCGACGCAGTGTGCTGATTCGCCCCACCGTAGTATGTTTTACCATACCACCGTCATGCAGATCTTTGGGTTTCTCCGATCCAACCGTGAAGTGGCCCTGGATGTGTCCACGGCTGCATATGCACGGCAACTCTGCCTTTCGTCGGCGCTCCGGGTAGCAGCGCTGCTTCGAATTCATCGCGACAAGTGGGGCATCGACCGGATGGCGCCGTCGACCATTCAATGGTGCAGCATCGGCATGTTCACCCTCATGGAGGCGCTGGACTCTACAGATAACCGCAGCGCCTTCGTTGAGCTGTGCATTATTGCCCGGGCGTTCTCACGGCGCTTCCCTTTC